GAAGGTGAGCCTGACCATCCGGAGGTGAACATGAAGGGAGGGGGCCCAAGGGAGCCACCACCATTGGCTGTGATACCCCTTGAAGCAGAGGAAAAGGGAGAAATATCTAGGCTTCTCATTCTCCCTCCTCTCTCATCTTCTGTCAGTGCTCCAGTTAGCAGAGACTACCCGAGAGCCAGGGGCAAGCCATCAATCAAGCAGAGAGAGTTCCCTGTGCTCAGAGTAGAGACCTGAGAGCAAATTGGCAGACGTCTCGCCCAGGAACGGCCTCGCCTCCCACCACCCACTCATATGGTCCTGGTGCAGCCAATCTGACCTTTGGCTCCAAAGGCGGGCATGTGATCTAGGCCTGGCCAATCAGCATTTTCCCCTCCTCTGGCTAGAGTGCCCTGAGTTGGTCCAATGAGAGTGAACCCTGGAATTTGGGGTCAAGAGGAAGCTGCTTCCTAGAAGATTCCCTGGGCTATGGAATGTAAACATAGACTTGCTAATGGCTACGTTGCTACCGTGGAGAAAAGAATGGTCTAGAGTGAAGTGAGCGTAAAGGAAAGCAGAGCAAGGAGAAGAGAAAGATTACCAGCAACTATTTCTGAATATCTGGATTCAGCCATTGCTGTGCTTGGACCTCTCAGGTGTCTGAGCCGTAATCTCTCTGCTTCCTTTTTTTTTTTTTTTTTTTTGTACATTAGTTTCTGCCACTTTCAGCCAAATGTGTTATAACTAATACACAACAGACCTAAGACAGGCCTGGGGTACCAGGAGATAATGACAATAAAAACTTGTGAACGCTAGGTGCCTGACTGGCTCAGTCAGAAGAGTATGGAACTTTTGATCTCGGGATCATGAGGTCAAGCCTCATGTTGGTTGCAGAGATTACTTAATAAATAATTTTTTTAAGCAAAAAAACAAAAAAAACCGCTTGTGAATAGTGACTGAGAGGGAAGTCTTTCTATCTCTGGGGTCAGTCATGGGGTTGGACATTTTTGTAGAAGTCAGAAACCCAGAGATCCAAAGAAGGCTCTCCATCTGAGTCTGACATTCTACTTCTTTATCTCCAATCTGTGACACTTGTTACTCCTTCAATATTGAGAACTCTTTCTTACTTTCATCCTTAAGAATAATTTTTCTTATGAAGCCTTTTATGTATCACATACTGTGCTAATGAACTTATGTAATGAACTTATGTATATAGAAATATATATTTTATAGGCTCTATATATGAACATGCGTAGGTGTATTTATATGTATATGTTTCCTATTTAATCTTTACCTTTGAGGACAGTAACTTATGAGGTAATAATTGTCATTATTTCTATTTGCATTTTTAAAGTGTGGAAGCTGAGGCAGAGATGGGTTAATAACTTTGCCGAGGACTTGAACGTGGGCTTCAGATCCCAAATCCCACCATTCTAACTATGAAGCCTCCCTCTTCTCTGAGTATACTTATTTATCCATCTGTTGTCAGCTGAGATCTGTGCTTCCGTTAGATTTAGTGTTGTTGCTGTGTATTTCATTAGTCCCCATTCTTCCTCCTCATAGTTGTTAACAGTATTGCCCACCATGATAGGTGTATCTTGCATCTTCCCTGAGCTCTGTGCTACCCTCAATGCCTAGCACACCGTAGCCTCTCAGTGACCATTTCCATAATTAAAGGAATAGTGAGTGTTGAACCACATCTGTTGATTTGAAGAAATCCTGCTTTTCATTCAGGATTAACCTGAAAATTAGGTGAGAAGTGACCATTGTCACATAAGGACCAAGGAATTGGGCTGTTAAGGAACCAAGGACTACTGTAGGGAAGGAATCAGATACAGCCTGATCCAGCTCCAGAGGCTGAGGAAGGGGGGATTCCAGGCCTGATACCCAGATAAGGAGAGACTGTTGGGCAAGGGGAGTCTTGCTATACTCCCGGATCATTCCATGTGTATTTGCCCTGCTTACCCCCATAACAAAGGTTGTCTCTACTCAACTTCTCCAGCAGGCTGTAAGCTTTCAAGAGCAGGAATTCTGTCTGTCAGCTCTATTTCCTGGCCCTCGACCTGGGGCCTGGCACCCTGTGGGCCCTTCCTGGATGCTGCTTGGTTAGTCATTGATGGGCTGTTGAGTCCCAAGTCTACCTTCATCACTGTCTCAGGCTGAAGTGTGATGGACAAGGCTTGTGCTAAATCCTGAGTGGCTGTCTGCTCTGTGCAGCCTGTTCAAAAGGCCAGCGCATTGACATTTCACAAATTCCTCATGCTTCGGTATTATTTCTGGTAATGTTATCTACTGGCAGATACTGCTCTTCATTACTCAAACTATGTGATGATTGGCTTAAATGTTCCCCTGTAGGCACTGTAGAGATATTCATTTGTTTGTTCATGCATTCATCATTCAGCAAATATTTACTGAGCATGTAAATGTATCAAGTCCAAGTGGCTGTTGGTAATGGGGCAAAGGGAAGGATAAAACAAACATAATTCCTACTCTCAAAGAGCTAAGTTGAAGGTACAGTAGCTACTATTTTTAAGGCACCTACTATGTGCCAGGCATGTACTAAATATTGTTTGACTTATTCTTTTTTTAATGTTTGTTTATTTCTGAGAGAGAGTGCAAGTGGGGGAGGGGCAGAGAGAGAGGGGGACAGAGGCTCTTATGTGGGGCTCGAACTCACGAAACACAAGATTATTACCTGAGCTGAAGTCGAAGGCATAGGCGACTGAGCCCCCCAGGTGCCCTTGTTTGATTTACTCTTCACCATCACCGTAAAATGTAGATAACGGATAGAGCAACTAAGGGTCAGTATGCTAAAGCCACTTGTTCAAGATCACATAGCTGGTAAGAAGCAGAATGGGGATTCTCTTCCCCATTTCTGAGAAACCACAGCTTCATTCTTCCCTCTATGCTGTGCTGCCTCCAAAATGAGGATGAGGTAGCAGGTGGCCTGTGACCTTTATTTCATAGTGTCATAGAAGATCAGGGGTGCCACTTTCAGCTCTGGAACTGCTGACCACTTCTGGAACATGGAAGCCATCTATGTGGGTCTCTCTAACACCTATCCCCTAATCTGGACAGAAATGGAAAAGTCAGTGGAATCTTAGGTATCTGTGAACCCCAACATGAAGTCACCAGGTATTTGGAGTCAACTTTCCATTTCTGTAAGATGGCCCATGTGTGGTACACACAGCCTTTGGGGTTTTTCCGTTTGCCTTGCTTGGCCCTAAGCATCTGTGTACCTGGGCTCCATATAGAATGGGTCCTGCGGACAGGCAGAGGTTAGCCCTTTTGGTTTGTTTTAAAGTTAGAAACTAGGGGTGCTTGATTGGCTCAGTCAAGTAAGTGTCCGACTTCGGCTCAAGTCATGATCTCACAGTTTGTGAGTTTGAACCCTGTATCGGACTGGGCTCTCTGCTGTCAGTCAAGAGCCAGCTTTAGACCCTGTGCCTCCCTCTCTCTCTGCCCCTCCCCCAGTCTCTCTCTCTTACACGCACACTCTCTCTCTCTCAAAAATAAATAAACAAAAAATATGTTAATAAACATTAAAATATAATAATAAAGTTAGAAACTATACCTTTTAGGACTTCAAACTATATGTTATCTAAAGTAGCGATTATCCTGGGAGCAAATGCCCTCGTTTACTAGGAGGTCCCCTCTGGTGGGCCCTGCTAGTCAAGGCGAGTGAGCCAATACCTAAGTCTGGGAAGTCACCCAAAGGCAGGCTCTCCTGCCTGTCCATGTTCTGTTGAGTCCTGTAAAGTGAGAACACGACAGAGCTGTGTGAGAGAATTCCTCTCCTCGTAAAGCTAGCTTGAAGCTATCCTATGTCTGAAAAAACTTATCTGAGCTATTTATGTGTTTCCCATAAAGATTGTGAACATTGGTTAAGACAAGTGTCCTTCACACTAGGTTAGAAGAAAAACCGTATTTGGCTTAGAAGAGAGCTACCCTGTGGCTGTTGGTTTCTCCCTTGCTGGAGAATTTGGACCATCCTTCAGTGGCCCAGTTCTGGCCATTGTGTGGGACCATAGTGTGTGTTGGGCAAGGTGGGTGGGGAAGTGTGGTGGGCTTCCCTTCAGATAAGTGAATGTTCCCACCGTTGATCTTTCTGGGAACTTAACAGGCACCCTGAGACCTATATTAGGCTCGAGCATCCTTTTATCCCCTTTCAATGAGAACTTGACTCCTCGGTGGGTGACTTCAGTTGATCTCTGACCTGGGGGGAAGGAGGTCTCCTAGGGAGCAGTTAAAATCCCCGAGAATATTTAGGACTGAGCAGTTCTGGAAGTAACGAATCTTAGAGCAGATGTGAGTTACCTCTGTCAAGTATTTCTGTGATTTCCAAGACTTTAGTAAATTCTCGTTAGAAGAGAAAAAGTAGAAGTTCCAGGTATAAATGCTGGCCTCCTCCAGATTTTACATTCTTCCGTTTATTAGCTATGTGCCTGTCACCTTACATAATGTCTGTAAGACTATGATTCTTTATTTGTAAAGTGGCTAACAGTCATACCTAACCTTTAGTATTAGTGCCTGCTAGCTGAAAATGTGTAGAAGTCGATGAGAATCTCCCTGTTATTTGTTTTGGTCTCCATGACTAATTTCCCAGATACAGGTTGGCTGTAAACTGTTATTTTATGATATTATGACAATTATCATTAGTCATTCAAAGCAACATACTGAGACTTTTTGTAAAAACAAATAACCGAAAGTTTCCCCAGAGAAGTTCCAATTAGATGTTGATAGGATAGGCTATTTTCATTTTCTTTTTTTTCTTTTTTTAGCAAGGATTTTGAAAAGCATTAATGCCTGCTAATGAGATCATCATGACAAAGGTACTATAAAGAAATGCGGTAAAAATGAACCTATAATGGTAACATCACTTTGGTGAAATTTATTATTAGGCATATTAAAAAAGAAAAATGGATAGCAATTTAATTCAATTTATAATACTTTAATGGGATCATTTTCATTAAATGGGAAGGAATGCATATTTTGAAACAAGCTGCTCATATTTGTCTACGCAGGGGAAATTCCATTGCTTCGAGAGCCAGAAAAGGCTGAACAGTATTTCCCCTCGACAAACAAGGCATTGTCCTGGAAATCTGGTCTTTCTTAACCCACCAGGTTTGCGTGTTCAGCTTCTCTGCTAATTGTTTCTACTGGCAGTTTTCAAAGGAATCAACAGGAAGAATTCTGCAAAGTGAAACTGGGCATTTGGTTATAAAATCTGGTGTGAAGGCATCACGGTGTGCTTTTGGGAGAATATCAGAACAGCTCGCAACTTCACGAGCCATTAACGAAGCTTACATTCTCAAAACACAGGCATATTTCTTGACTAAGCACAGTGTTACAGGTGATTTTCTGGCTGCTTGCGATTATGTGCCTATATACTCTTTTGTTCTTTTGGGAAAAAAATGTATTGTGCTTTCTCCATTTCTCCAGTACTTCAGTAATACTGTAAGAAACTTCTAAGACACTTGAAGTCGTATTTTGAAGAAAGAAAATTGTACAAAACTATGTTAATTTAATTTTTTCTTTGCTTTGCTTTTTGGTTTCTATTAAATTCAATTTATTTTTTAAATGTTTTATTTATTTCTGAGAGAGAGAGAGACAGCGTGAGCAGAGGAGGTTCAGAGAGAGGAGATACAGAACCTGAAACAGGCTCCAGGCTCTGAGCTTACTGTCAGCACAGAGCTTGACGCGGGGCTCAAACCCACGAACCGTGAGATCATGACCTGAGCTGAAGTCGGATGCTTAACAGACTAAGCCATCCAGGCTCCCCGTATTCAATTTATTTAAACTAAAAAATAACATGAAAACAGTTCACCCATTTCTCCCATCCTCCCCACCCACACCTCTGGTAATTGCCGAGCTGTTCTCTGTATCTGTGAGCTTAGTTATATATATATATATAGTTTATGTATAAATTTAGATTCCATGTAAAAAAGAGGCCATCTAGTATTTGCTTTCTTTGTCTGCCTTACTTCACTTGGCATAATGCCCTTGAGATCTTTCCATGTTGTCACAAATGGCAAGATTTCATTCTTTTTATTGGCTGAGTAACATTCCATTGTACAAATATATACCACATCTTCTTTACCCATTCACCCTTTGCTGGATACTTATGTCATTTCCATATCTTGACTACTATAAATAATGCCTCAATGAATATATATCTTTCTGAATTAACGTTTTCATTTTCTTCGGGTAACTACCCGGAAGTGGAATTGCTGGACCATATGATCGTTCTCTTTTTAATTTTTTCAGGAACCTCCATACTGTTTTCCACAGTGGCTGCCCCAATTTAAATTCCCACCAGCAGTGCACAAGTTCTTCCCTGTTCTCACATCCTCATCAACACTTGTTATTCTGTGTCTTTTTGATGATGGCCACATGAACCGGTGTGAGTTGATAGCTCATTATGGTTTTGATTTGCATGCCTCTGGTGATGAGTGATATTGAGTGTCTTTTGTACCTGTTGACCATCTGTCTGTCTTCTTTGAGAAAATGTCTATTGAGATCTGCCCAATTTTTAATCCCTTTTTTTTTGCTACTCAGTTGTATGAGTTTTTAAATATATTTTGGATATTAGCACCTTATCAGATATATGACTTGCAAATATTTTCTCTCAACAGTAGGTTGCCTTTTCGTTTTGTTGATGATTTTGTTTCCTGTGCAGAAGCTTTTTAGTTTGACATAGTCCCCTTGTTTAGTTTTGTGGTTGTTGTCTTCGCTTTGGTGTCAGCTTCAAAAAAATTATCATCAAGACCTCTGGCGAGGAGTATATAGCCTAGGAATTTTATGGTTTCACATCTTATGTTCAGAATGTCTTTTATCCACTTTGTGTTAATTTTTGTAGATGGTGTAAGATAGTGGTCCAGTTTCCTTCTTTTGCATGTGGCTGTCCTATTTTCCCAGCACCATTGACTGACCATGTGTGCATGGATCTATTTCTGGGCTCCATATTTATTTCAGTTATCTCTAAGTCTGTTTTTGTGCCAATATCCTACTGTTTTAATTACCGTAGTTTTGTAATACTGTTTGAAATCAGGGAGCAGGATGCCTCCAGCTTCATCCTTCTTTCTCGAAAGTGCTTTGGCTATTCTGGATCTTTTGTATTTCCAGACACATTTGAGAATTTTTTGTTCTGTGAAAAATGCCATTGGAATTTTAATAGAAATTGTACTGAATCTGTGTATTACTTTAGGTAGTATGGACAGTTTAGCAGTTTACTTCTTCCATTTCATGGTCATGCAATATCTTCCCATTTATTTGTATCTTCTTCAATTTCTTTCATTAATGTCTTGTAGTTTTCAATATGTAAGTATTTTCCTCCTTAGTTAAATTTATTCCTAGGTTTTTGGATGTGAGGCCTGAACCGTAAAAATCCTGGAAGAGAACACATGCACTAAATCTCTTTGACATCAGCTGTAGCCATTTCTTTCTAGATATGTCTCCTGGGGCAAGACAAACAGAAAAAAAATCTGTCTGTGTGTCTGTCTGTCTGTCTGTCTCTCTCTCTCCCCTCCAATCCCTCCATTTGTGCTCCCTTTCTTTCAAAATACATATACTAAAAAAAAAAAAAATAGGGAACCCTCTTGCCCTTTGATGGGAATGCAAACTGGTGCAGCCACTCTGGAAAACAGTATGTAGTCTCCTCAAAAAGTTGAAGATATAGAATTACCCCACAGTCTAGCAATTGTACTATTAAGTATTTACCCAAAGAATACAAAAATACTCATTTGAAGGGATACATACACCCTGATGTTTATAGCAGTATTATCTACATTCGATATAATACACACACACACACACACACACACACACACACACACACTGAATATTACTCAATGGTAAAAATGAATGAAATCTCACCATTTGCAATGACATGGATAGAGCTAGAAAATATTATGCTAAGTAAAATAAGTCAGCCACAGAAAGACAAAAACGATATTATTACATTCATATGTGGAATTTAAGAAACAAAACAAATGCACAAAGGGGGAAAAAAGAGAGGGAGAGAGGCAAACCAAGAGACAGACTCAACTATAGAGAACAAACTGATGGTTACCAGTGGAGAGGTGGGTGGGGGGATGGGTGAAATAGGTAATGGGGATTAAGGAGTGCCCTGGTCGTGGTGAGCACCCGGTGCTGAATCATTGCATTGTGCACCTAAAACTAATATTTACACTGTATGTTAACTAACTGGAATTGAAATAAAACCCTAAAATTTTTATTCCTAGGTATTTTATATTTTTGATGTAATTGCCAATGGGATTGTTCTCTTAATCTCTCCTTCTGCTAGTTTATTAGTAGTCTATAGAAACACACACACACAAAAAAAATGTGTATTACAATTCAAAATCTATGGGATGTGGCAAAGGCAGTCCCAAGAGGAAAGTACATTGCTCTCCAGGCCTATTTCAAGAGATTAGAAAAAGCGCAAGTCCAAAATCTAACAGCTCACCTAAAGGAACTAGAGGCAGAGCAACAAGAACGCCCTAAACCCAGTAGAAGAAGAGAAATAGTAAAAATTAGAGCAGAAATAAACAACATAGAGACCAAAGAAACAATTGAACAGATCAATGAAACCAAGAGTTGGTTTTTTGAAAAAGTAAACAAAATTGACAAACCTCTAGCCAGACTT